GCTTTGTTTCTGTGTCGGCAGGAAGAGACGAGTTCGTTACGCTTGTTGAGTGTTGATAGGTCTGGGTGGCAGATGATTAGGAATTTCTCTTTAAGGCATAGGTTGCATCGTTTGCTTGAGCTGTTGTAGGGCAGGTGGGAAGATAGGATGCGCCAGGTGATGGAATAATTGATGTTGTTGTCTTTAAGTGTCCAGATGTGTTTGCTGAGTTCGGTGGAGTTGCGGTGTTTTGCGTGTCGGAATGATGAGGTGTGGTTGTTGTAGCGCGACTTAAAGTCGTTTGCAGTGAGCCCGATGTATGTGTCTGTCGTGCTGTTGTCTTTACGTGTAATGGTAGCTTGGTATATGACAGATTGCGGGAGGAAGTTTCCGTGTAGAGGGCATGAGTTTTTCTATCGGCAGTTGCATTTCTTCCTCCTTCGACCAAGCCGTTCCTGCCTACCAGAAAGCATTAAACACCAGTGGTTACAGCTACACACTCCACTACGAACCAACGCACACACAAAGTCGCAAGAACCGCCAACGCAACAACATCCTCTGGTACAACCCGCCTTTCACCAAGAACACCAGCACTAACATCGGACATAAATTCCTCGCGCTGATTGACAAACACTTCCCCAAAGATCATAAGCTCCGCAGAATTTTCAACAGAAACACAATCAAAATTAGTTACAGCTGCATGGACAATACAAAACAAATCATCGACAACCACAACAAAAGAATCCTCACCTCCCACGTAAAGACTAACGCCACCGCCACAACCGACACCTCTACCGCAAACAACAACAAGAAATGCAACTGCCGACAGAAAAACTCATGCCCTCTAGACGGAAACTGCCTCCAACAATCTGTCATATACCAAGCTACCATTACACGTAAAGACAACAGCACGACAGACACATACATCGGGCTCACTGCAAACGACTTTAAGTCGCGCTACAACAACCACACCTCATCATTCCGACACGCAAAACACCGCAACTCCACCGAACTCAGCAAACACATCTGGACACTTAAAGACAACAACATCAATTATTCCATCACCTGGCGCATCCTATCTTCCCACCTGCCCTACAACAGCTCAAGCAAACGATGCAACCTATGCCTTCAAGAGAAATTCCTAATCATCTACCACCCAGACCTATCAACACTCAACAAGCGTAACGAACTCGTCTCTTCCTGCCGACATAGAAACAAAGCACTCCTACGCAACAGCTGACTTGACACTTTTCACACTGCATAAACCATGTTAATTAGCAATTAGTGTAATATATAAACGATGGTATCGCATCATTCTGCCATTAAAATCCCCTGATGAGTGGGTAAACACGAAGCAGGTCTGTAGGGATGTATATGTAGTTGTTTTTTTCCCGACTACCACACGTTATATATATATATATATAAAGTCTATTAGACTTTTTGTTGAGTATATGTCTTCCTTTGCTCGAAGTTGTCCGTCCTCGTGTGCCACACTACTTCTCCTACCATTTATCGAGGTTTGGACTGTGAATCCTTTTGGATCCTTCTGGTGTGGTGTCACTGTTGGCTCGAGGCCTTTTAACTTATTATATATATAGATATAGAAAATACATTCCATATTTCGTTGCATCGATGAAGTCCTACGAGGGATCATAGAATGACTTGAGGGGTGGGGGAGAGGGTACTGGAAGGGGGGTAAACTCATGTTTTATTTCCTTAAAGCAATCTGTAATCGATTTTCCAACGGAATCCTGGTTTGCTTTGCATTTGCTCCACTTTGTTTACCAATTGCTTCAATAAACTCGCATCTTCTTCTCAACCAGGTGTGTGCAAAACTGGTAACCAGCTTTCTTTACTTTCGAGTTACCACTCCCACAGTGGTTAATTACAGTGACTGTTGGGAGTTCCCTCGAGATTTTTCAGGCTTAAATTGATGGCCTGTAGTACATGTATGATTGAAGTCCTGCAAAATATAAGTTCAAATTTGAGATAAATTTTTTTTTCTATTTAATCGGTTTTTGCTGGTCCTCCCTTCTAGTCTCTTAAAACGTGAAATGAAAAAGTTTTGAGTGATAAAGATCAATAACGATTTAAGAATTGGTTTAAGAAAGTGACACTTAAGCCTTTGGTTTTTTTTCTATTTTGATTTAAAAGCCAAATCGTAATGAAGCAAAGAACGCCACTGTTTTGCTGAGTTGTGATGTTTTACTATCGTCAAACACAAATCGAGACAATAACAACCAGGCTACTGATCAATACAAACCCTCAAAACCTTGACTTTAAAATCAAAGCAGAGCGCATTGCTTCATAAACTTGTTAACGTTTTGGAAAAGCTCATTTCAACGCTCTTTTATTTATTTTATTCCTTTATTCTAATGGCGTTAAACTTAACATAATCAACCACTACCCACAAATAGCATAGCTAGTCTCGGCGGGCAGTGTGTGGACGCTAAAACATCTTACATAAATTTCGGTTCAACAAATGATTCAATAAATATACAAGGAACAGAAGTTAAATATTAAATCATTAATTTAAAAGCAGAAATGACAGTGTGAGATAAAAATACAGAAATAGAAACACATGACAATAAATAGAAGAATACATAAGTTATACACTACTATTAACTGGATTTAACTTTTGACACATCATTGAATATTCGTTCTAGTCAACATAACTATCTAAAACTTGAAGATTTTTCGTTGTCGCTCTCATTTACTTTAATCACTTTTGTTCCATATAAAGCAAAAGGTCAACAACATTCGTGGCCCTAGTTCTCATAAGAATATCCAAAACACATGAGTTCACTAAATCAACTAATAAAACACTAATCACGTTACATATACGTAATACGATAAATGCTATGACGTCACGGTTACATATCAAATGATAATTTTACTTGTGTTTGCTACTGTTAGTTTGTGAATGCCTATCAATGTTTTATTTATTCACATACGCTTTTATTTATTCACATGCGTTTTTATTTCTTTGTAGAAACTGATGCTTCACCGATGCGCCATAGTTTGGCAATCCCCCGAGATGTATCTTTTACATTTACTTTTTATTGCTCAAAATCACCAATACAGCATCAATACCTTCCTCATTACAATCTCCTGTTTACTTAAATTAAGTATTCTCCTAAATATTTGGAGTTAAACCTCAGTCACCTTTGTTTCGAAAAACTCTGTCCATCCGTCCGTAGAGTGTTTCTGTTATATTTATAAATGATTATAGAAGCTATCCTTGTATCCGAAAGGATCTCGCTGCGACCTAAGTCAAAATATCATCTTATTAATTACATTGCCCGGGTAAAATTTAATGTTGAAACAAAAACGATACTTTACCGACCGTGAAGAATTCTAAACATGGGGTCTTTCATTGACTTATTGTCACTCTTCATATCTATATTTCAAGTGTTCTTAAAAAAATGCTCGGGGAATTTCATTACTTACGAGTTCTTTATGAGGTTATCTTATGACACTTAACGTTACAAAGATTCCCAAGAAAACGAAAGGACTCTTGGGCATAAAGACTAAGTCTGAGAAAAAGCTTTGGGAGCTGAAGAATTCTCAAGATTTCGAGGACAAGGCAAGTATCTATTAGAGGAAGTATTAAATAGTGCTGGCCCTAAGCTTGTCGAATTGTCGCTGAAGTACGTATTGTACGTACGTATTGTACGAATTGTCGCTGAAGTACGTATTGAACACGGCTAATCTTTGCTGACATTTCTGTAAGTACCTAGTGTTTATGAAAAATCGATTCCTCAAAAATCAAAGTCGATCACGTGTTAAGGGAAAATAAGCCCATGTGAAGAGTGGTCCCAGATTCTTGATAGTGTACCCCTGGTCAAAGAGTTGGTCTGATTAACGTGGTTTTTTCATATCGATTGGTGGTCGTATTCAAGAGGGAAGAGAAACTGTGACTGAACACTCAATCTGACTCGTTTAGGCAAAACAAATTAGTTTGTCCGAACAGTCCACAACTCTAAAATGCGATGTCTAGCATCGACTTTGATATTTTCACTCTTTCTAAGATATGTATTTCAAGAGCTACTTAATGGAAACCCTCTGAAAAAGAAAAATCCATAGTTTGCAACTTTTTGAAATGTGATGGTATGTCTTTTAATGATACAAAGATTGAGGAGATTGATTCAAAATTCATAGTCGATAATTTGTTACAGTAAAGTAGGCAAGGGTCATAATTCATTAACTCGAGGAAAGAAGCAATCAGATCGCTCGAAATACCTGTTTTGTTTTGTTTTGGCTTTTTTTTTAATTCAATACTGATTGTGGGTATACTAGCTTATGAAAATTTGCAAACAGAAACTCGTCATGTGTAAGAGAGTGAGCCCTCGGACCTATTGGAATATAAAACTTTGGGCAGTGTCAGACCAAAAACCCTGACTACCCTACATTTCGTGAAAAGGGAAATTAAACTTGACGTCGTGTTGTACAATCACATCGGAGAATCCGGCAATCAGTAAATGTTTCAGGAAATTTTGACGGTCTATCATTTTTCTAGGAGGTTGTTTTAGAGTACCTTCCTATTGCTCACTTGAGTCCTGTCTTCGTAGCAGGGTAAAGTGGGCTAATTTCTAGAATGGCGGCTGGCAAGATTTTCCTGCTTATGAGTGGTCACGAGTGGCCCCGGTTGAATTACAGTGTAACTGCGTTAAAGAGGGCTGACCAAATAAATGTGATTTTTAATTGAAAGAGCTCAAATTTTAATTCACGGGGGAGGGCGGTTTAATCGTAGACGTGAAAGAAAAAATGACTGACCTTTAAATCTCATTTGTTAAAGCTTCAACAATTGGTTGTCCGGGTGCAATTTCACAATCTGTTGATGTGCTTTTAAGAACGTTCAGTTCATTTATTCAAGTCAATACGTGAGCTATTAATATGCTCCTTTTCCTTTGAAAAGACCTCATTTCTGTTTTTTCAACCAGGAAAAACCTGGCAAAAAAAAAAAACAACAATAATTGAAAAGCAGCCAAATTCACAGCCGCCCAACACTGTCGCTACAGCAGATGTGTTGTATTGTGTCGGTCCTAATCTTTCAGAGTGCTCGGTAGAAAATGGATTTTAGAATACGTTCTGTGCGGTGCAGGCCATCAATGTTTTAACGTCACGTCAAAAAGATTAAGATATATATTTTTTTATTGAAGAGAAGTTTTGTTTTTTGCTGCAGGAAAGCGAACTCAAGAGAAGGGACCCTCTGGTGGGACATGTCAAGAAAACTTGCTACATGCCCGTGGTAGATTTGAACTTTGGTAAACTAAGTGGACAACCTGTCGAGGAAATGTGACAGAAATTAGATGATGCATTATCAAATACCAATATTGGTAAAGTGTATTGCAACAATGAAGTGACAGAGTGTCATGAACCATACCTGAAAACTAGAAATGGACGCCCATAATGATCTTCCTCACATCCTCAGAGTTGGGTTACAGAAGGAGGAGACAAAGAGCTACAAGCATCATTCCCTCGTAGTAATATATAAAAGGCCAGTCAAACTTCCAGATATAGTTCACGTGACGTGATATCTTAGCAGCTTCTTTCTCTCATTAAAGTTAATTTTCGTTTTAAAATATTAGCTGCAATAAAGACCAGGGGCACCAAATCTCAGTCGGGGGGGAAGGGCAACTCGTATAAACTTAAGCCTTTTATTGCGGACACTTCAGTGACGAGAAGATGCACGTCAAACAACATATACTGACCCAAAAGATAATTTGTACGTAAAATATACTGGAAAGACGTATCTATGCTGAAAGTCTTATGATTCGTGGAAATTTCGATGTGACGATGGTAATACTCCCAACCTTTTTATCATGTGCATGCGCTTTCATTGTTTTCGTATTTTTTTCGGGTAGGTAGAGATGGCTGGGTTGCATTGCTCAGCTGCCCGCGTGGTAGCATTTTGATTTCATACACCTACTTTCGCGCACCGACGCCTCAAGAGATGCTGGTCAACTACGAGGCATTGCCCACTTGATTTCCATTTCCATCGGTAGCTAACTTCAGAGCATTTTTTATTGTATTGATTACCGTTCACTCGCTTTTGCAGAAAAAAAGAGTTTTACAACTGGCTTCAGAAATTATCGGTTCTGAAGCAGTTACCCCCTCACCCCCCTCCTCGAATGGGTCGATGCCACTGATCTTGCGTTCCATCGCAAGGAAGGCCAAAGATCACCGGGAAAACGAGGAGAGAATTCTGCCATTTGAGTTAATTTCCAGCCCCCTGCAATGCTCAAAACGATACATAAGTTATTAAAGCATCAACAAGCTGTCCCCTCGTTCTTTAAAGTATTTACACAAATTCTACCGCAATGGTTTTCCACGCAGCGTTTTTACAATGACAGCTGACGGCTTTCGCTGTCCTATTACAACGGCATTTATTCTTGAAGAAACAAATTTTAAAAGAATAAAAAGCACTTTGTTGGGGTGGGAGAAAAATACATTTTAAACCAACAGAACTTCCTCTTTAACCACTCGATCAGAGGTCGTTCCGTCGAGGCATGTCCTATCTTCCTCCCTCCCTGCTTCCCTCAGCGGTTTCAGCCATGGCGGTAGGACATGTCTTGACTCTCTCCGTAATTTTGTTAAGTTTGTTGCTCTTATCTTTGTACTCCGCTGATTCAGACTCTCCTAAGTACTTCGGGAATGCTCAAGCGGGGCTCGGAGATAATTTTCTCCAGTTCTTTAACATCTTGCTGCAAAAATTTAAACCGAGATTGCTGGCAGACCTGACACGAGTCGGCGGCCATTTTGTTTCTGGTCATCGTAAGAGATTTCTGAGGTCGAGTGGCGTCCTCCGCGAACTGTCCAGTTTCTTTCAACCCGACGTACTTTGTCATAGTCCGAAGCGGAGATTTTAATCCCCTACCGAGACTCAACAGGCAAACTAGTTCGGCCATGCTTAATATACCGAAGGAATTGAAGGCAAACATCAAAATTGCTCATCTGAACGTCCACTCCGGTTGAAATCTAGGGTACATTTGTGCCTTGTTAAAGACACGATTCTACAAAACAAGTCTGATTTCTTCACGATATCTGAAACGTGGACAGATTTAACTGTGAGTGATGCAAGTCTTGAGATCTCTGGCTACCAACTGTTCAGACAGGATCGCGGAACACACAAAAATGGAGGTGGTTTATGCATCTATGCTAAGTTAAACCTCAAAATTACTGTCCTGGATGACCTATCACTGGCTTGTGAGGATGGTTTTCAACAGCTTTGGCTAAGAGTGCAGTGCAGAAGTCATAAGTCATTCCTAGTTTGTAATACTTATCGACCTCCAGACACACCTGCTAGCTGCTTCGAAAATCTTGCTAAGTGCTTTGTTGACGCATTACTTATGGACTTGGACATTATTATACTTAGAGATCTACACTGCAATTTACTGGCCTCTAGCCCCGAGACTAAATCATTGCGAGAATTCATCTCAACTTTCAACTTAAATCAGCTGGTTGAGAAACCTACATGGATTACTGAGACCACTATATTCCTAATTGATGTCATTATGACTACAAATAAGAACATTGTATATGGAGGGGAATACTGGACAAAATTGTCATTAGATCGTGTGTGGTAAGGCATTATATCGTACTGCATGGTTATGTAGCCGGAGGTACTATATCGTACCCGGTATGTTGTCTTATCGTAATGGCGATGCCATTATGTCGTACCACATGCTGCTATATCGTGCCCGATAATGCGACATCGTATCCGGTGTGTTGTTGTATCGTAGCAGAGATGCCGTCTCATCGTACCTGATATTGCTATATCGTAGTCGATAATGCCATGTCGTACCCGGTGAATTGTTACGTCGTAGCAGTGATGCCGTTTTATCGTACCATATGCTGCTATGTCGTACCCGATAATGCTATTTCGTAACCGGTGATGCTTTATCGTACGTCTAACTGGTCAGCGGCATACACTTGAAGTGACGTCACGTGACCACTGGGATAAAAAGATCAGCGGTTGTTATTTTAGGCTCGTGGAGTGGCTAGTGGCTTATCGTACTTTTTCTGTGAAAGACTTATTCCTGTAAATGGTGAAAAAGGTAATGATATGGAAGGCCAACACCAGCCTGAATTTGTCTTCACGAATATCCCTCTAGCTCTGTTAATGCGTTTCTTGAAATAGGTGTGGTTCTTGCTATGAGATCTTGATCTGACATATCGATAGATTAGAGGAAAGAAACACACACCTAAGCTAAAAATCTCTACTTGTCCAATACCGCGTTTCAAGAGTTGTAAAAATCGAGAACTATCGCGTTCTAGAACACGTGATATCAGTTTCGCGTCAATTTCACCGTAAGCTGCTGACCAGTTAGACGTACGATAAAGCATCACCGGTTACGATATAGCATTATCGGGTACGACATAGCAGCATATGGTACGATGAAACGGCATCACTGCTACGACGTAACAATACACCGGGTACGATATAGCATTATCGACTACGATATAGCATTATCAGGTACGATGAGACGGCATCTCTGCTACGATACAACAACACACCGGATACGATGTAGCATTATCGGGCACGATATAGCAGCATGTGGTACGACATAATGGCATCGCCATTACGATAAGACAACATACCGGGTACGATATAGTACCTCCGNTGAGGAGAATAGTCACAAATCAACATCCTGTCTTGAGAATGTGAATGGAAAATTGAAGCTTAGAGGAACCCATAATTATTACTATCAAGTACAGCAGCAGTTATTTACCTTACCTGAGAGAAAATTTTGTGACTTTGTTGTCTTTTCAAGAGATTCACAAGGAAATTCTCAAATTGTTTGTGACCGAATAAACCCTGACACAGAACACTCAAAGAATGTGTTGTCAAAGCTTGAAGTTTTCTGGAGAATTTGTATCCTTCCAGAGATGCTTGGAAGGTGGTACACTAGAAGGTGTGATCAGCCTGACAGAGTGCCTGATGAGAATGCGATTTGCTTTTGTCGAGGGAGCCATAGTGATGGAGTAATACCCTGCAGTAATGTTGATTGTCCTTATGGAAAATTCCATAAAACATGTTTGGCTTTAGATAATGTGTCGATACCTAAGAAATGGTACTGTCCTCATTGCTGTAAGCTTTCACAGTATCAGAAAGGAAAGAAAGCCTCAAACCAAAAAGTGCAATCTACAATCCATCAAGCTGCAATGAAATATAATACTATTTGTGTTTGTAATGGCAAGGCATCCACTATAGATAGGCTGGTTGAGTGCCACAACACTACCTGTAAAAATGGGCATTTTTTTCATTTGTGGTGCTTGGGATTGAAAAGACTGCCTAACAATTCCAAAACAACCTGGTTGTGTCCTGATTGCAGTGGAAAGAAAACCACTACTACCACTTCTGCTTCTTCATTACCTGAGTCACCTGTTGCTTCAAACTTATCAGACGATAATGATGATGATGACAGTGATATTGAGATTACGAAAGTGTCAACTGGCTCTATCAACAAATTCAGTGCTCTTAAGAGGTTAGACAGCTCAGACTATAACATTATCAAAGATCCTACTGGATGGCTTACTGGGGACATTATTCAGCATGCTCATGTCCTCATAAAACAAGAAAATCAATCAATTGGGGGTTTTCAGCGCCCAATTTTGGGTAGAGTTAGAAACTTCGATGTAGAGTCTGGTGAATTTATTCAAATCTTACACACTGGAAGTGATCACTGGGTTTGTGTAAGCTCAATAGGATGTACCCCTGGCATAGTTAACCTCTATGATAGCTTATTTCATCATGCCATTTGCCAAGAGATTGAGGAACAGACAAATGACCTACTAGGTGGGAATTTGATCAGTCTTAATTCTTTACCTGTGCAGCAACAAAATAATGGCAGTGATTGTGGTGTGTTTTCTGTTGCCTTTGCAACATGTCTAGCTTTTGCTACAAACCCCAGCCATGTTACTTTTGATGTTCCAAGAATGCGCTCCCATTTGTTAGCTTGTTTCAAAAGTGGCAGGATAAGCATGTTTCCATTTATTTAGTAACAGAGATAATAACAATAGCTAATTTATAAGATTGTGCCATTTACTGCAAAGGCAAGAATGTCTTGTCATTTTTTTCTGTTTGGTTGCCATACAGAATAGTAGGAAAACAATTGTCACATATTGTAATTCTAGGTTGCATTTGACACAAGTGTACAAATTATTGTTAAACACATGTTCAGTCAATATAGAGTTTTGATAGCAATGTCCACATGTAGATCTAGGTACAGTACTTGTCAGTACTAATTGGGTGAAAACATAAATATGCCATAGCTTCTTTGCAATAAATGTACTTATTGTCACTTCCCCCTTTAGTTTTGGAACAATTAGTAAATCATATATATATATTACAAATACATGTTTAAGACATTTGTTAAGTCAATTCATTAAAACACACTCATTTATTATTATTTGACAGTAATTTAACCATAACATTAGCAAACAAGGATTAAGGGCTGATGGTGTTCAATATAATGTCTAAAATTAAATCTTAGCAAAAACTGGAAATTATTGATGTCTGTTTAGTGTAAGCCAAGATCAGGCAGTCATATGTACTTTTTTTGTTGCTACTAAATGTAGCTCAATTAGCATTTTGATTCAAAATGCTTTCATTATATTCTAAATTCAAGCACAAGTATCAGGAAGTTTTTAAGAATTACGTTAGAACTGGATTGATAAGATAACATTTCAGCCAAATAATGGTTTAAGTAAAACTTAATTATGCTTAAGTGCTTGATTTTTTCCACTTGATAATTGAAAGGGACTACATGAGAATGACTTTTTGAACAATGTTTCATTTATCCATACGGTTGTGAAAAATGTAATTAAAAGCACAACCAGACTAGCCATAAAAATATTTTTAAAACATCAAAATATATAAACTGTATTAAAAAAAGGAATAGATGAGTATATTGTCCTCCAATCATTGCTTTCATTGTCAAGTCAGTCTAATGGTACAATAGATGGGTAACAATTGACAAGGGCTGAACAAACTCTTAATATACAGTCAATTAGAGGTTCCTGGCTCTGTATGCTACTTAAAAATTTGGAGGTAGCGTACCTTCCAATATGGTATACTTTCGTCGCAGCAACCCTATCACTCTCTCAACGTGAATCCTAACACTAGCTATTCCTCTTGATCTTTCTACATCAACTGGATCTAGTTGGGCCTTTCCTTTTGTAAAAGCAGGAATGACAAGCTTCCCATTTTTTAATCCCGCGCTTTCAGATATCGTGAAACCTCTATCTGCTATTACTGTGTCTCCAGGAACTAGCTTGGTTAAAATACCACAGTTCTCTGGAATGAACTTATCTGATGTTCGCCCACCCCAAGCTTGAGAAACAAATGATATTGTTCCTTGGGGTGTTATACCTATGAGTGCCTTGATGGTATTGTGGTGCTTGTATGAGCTGAATGTTTGAGCTAGAGTCAGTAGATTCGATGGCTTTTCAATAAAAACTTCAAAGCAGTCTATTATCACGGTCACTTTTTGTCCGAATGTGTACTCAAAACACATTGGCATGGTTTTCCATAACTGGTCTTTATTAGGCCATTATCGGGCACGATATAGCAGCATGTGGTACGACATAATGGCATCGCCATTACGATAAGACAACATACCGGGTACGATATAGTACCTCCGGCTACGTAACCATGCAGTACGATATAATGCCTCACCGCACACGATCTAATAACAATTTTGTCCAGTATTCCCATCCATAATTGTAAGTCTCTGTGACGTCCTCTCTTGCTCTATAAGTGACCATCATCTTATCTACCTCGTCTTAACTCTTAAAAAAGTTCTAGGCTTAAGCCCTCCTATATTACTATCAGGAGTTACTCTAGCTATAATGCAGAGCGCTTTCGTGAGGACCTGGCATTTGTACCATTCCACATGACTTCCATGTTTGATGCTCTCGACGATCAGGTGGACACATTTAACACCTTGTTTTTGGATGTTTTAAATAAACATGCCCCGATCAAGAGGATTAAGATAAAGGCTAGACCACATCCTTTTATTACAGATGAAATTCGCCAGCTAATGAACACCCGCGACATATAGCATAGAAGAGCGATTAGGTCAAACGACCGTCTTCACTGGAATACTTCAAACAGGAAGTTAAACGTGAGTTGATATTTGCAGAAAAGGCTCATCATGTGATGAATTACTTAAGAGCAATGGAAACACCAATGCAATCTGGAAGATTATCAATAACTGTCTACCAAGGAAATGCCGGAATCGCCCATTAATGACTGAAAGTCCAACCGCCCTTGCTAATAAATTCAACGAATACTTTGCGTCAGTGGGGAGTGTGACCGCCTAGAAAGTTCGTGACCTCGCAATTGAACGTAATTTTGGTATCCATCCTACTTCGTCAGATGTGGAACCTTTACCTGATCAGCGCTCAGAAGCTTTTCAGTTTCATTCAGTGCAAGACAAGGATGTTGAGAGTGTCATTAAAAGCTTTTCTTCAAACAAAGCACCTGGCTACGACAGAGTGCCCGCGCGTGTACTCAAGGATTGTCTACCTGTAATTCTTCCGTCAATCACTATTATTATGAACTATTCCTTTCACACTGGAACGTTTGCAAGGGCATGGAAAATCGCCGAGGCTACTCCTATTTTAAAGTAAGGTGATTCTGAAGATCCGTGCAACAATCGGCCTATTTCGCTACTCCCTATCCTTTCAAAGGTATCTGAACGATTGGTCCATGGACAATTTGTTAGTTATCTAACAGCAAATAAGTTATTGGCAAAAACTCAAGTGGTAACCGAAAGTTTCACTCAAGTGAGACCGCCCTTCTACGTGTTACTGACGACCTCTTGCAGGCAATCGATGATAAAAAGATCTCAGCTCTAGTTTTACTCGATATGTCAAAGGCCTTTGACAGCATTAGACATGATATTCTACTGCAGAAACTACGGGCTCTTGGTGTTACATCCTCAAGTCATGACTGGTTCGATGGCTACCTTGTTGGCGGCAGTCAAAAAGTACGCATCCATGATACTACCTCTGATGCACTTCCCCTGAAGTATGGAGTTCCTCAGGGATCGATATTGGGCCCAGTCCTGTTTACTATTTATGTAAATGACATGTTGTCTGTTCCTACTCACTGCAAATCGGCCTGTTACGTCGATGATGCTAAACTATACCTGCCCTTTCCCTCATCCGACATGTTCACCGCAATTCATAATCTAAATTTGGACCTCGAACAAGTCTCCAGATGGTGTTGCCAAAACTCTTTGTTGATAAACCCTGATAAGACTAAAGTTTTAATTATCGGTTTGCCTCAACTTCTAAATAAGTTGCTAACGGCATCTATTCCGCGGATGCTTGGAAAAGAAATTACACCCTCTACTGTTGCTAAAGATCTTGTCACTTATATTGACCAATCACTAACTTATAACGAACACATTACTAAAACAGTCTCTACTTGCTTACATAAAATCGTACGAATCAATAGCATAAAACACTTTTTTAGATAGGAAAACAATACTTCTCCTTATAAATTCTTTCGTTTTTAGTAAATATACGTTATTCACCAGCCGGGAGGTCCGTACTGGGAAAAACTGTGCCCGAGGTCTTGGATACCGCCCGAGGCCGTAGGCCGAAGGCGATACTCAGGACAGAGGGCACACTTTTTCCCAATACGGACCGACCTATGCTGGTAAATAACATTTTTATTTTTTTTCTAACACATAAAAAAATGATTGCCAAAAGAACCCGAATGATTTAGGGCTACAATTACGAGTTTAATTACGGAAAAATCCTCCGTAACCTTAACAATTTGTTAGCGAGTAGATGATAAAGAATACAGACGTCAATTAAAGAGGAAGCTTTCACCGAAATATTTTTAATTTGTAAATGTAACTGAAAAGGCTTCCGAGCAAGCTTTGAAACATTTTTTGACAAGTAACTGTCACATGTGACAACTGTCAATTGAAGAATAAAAAAAGCGTACGCTTTTGATTAAACAACAGTACTGGTGTGACCACAGGGCGCCCATACAATCTGTTTGTGTAGCCGACTGTTGTTTTACAGTGAATGTACCAGGTTTACCGTTTACCTCACCTATAGTGATATATTGCTGACTATGTACATAAATCATTGATAAATAAACGTTGAATTACTTTACCTGTGGTGTATAGTCGTCCTTTTGCCTCAAAAAAATTTTCTTGAGCGATTTTGAATAAGTCTGAGTTNTCAATTATTTTGGTGGATCTTTCCGAGGGCTCTCTCTGCGTTTAATATTTCAACAAGGCAACGAAGCAAATCCAATCTGGTACATTGTTGACATAATGGTTACTTATCTAACAAATACTTATCTGAAAAATGATATCAAGCCAAAAGTTGCAACTAAGGCACGACAGAGATATGTATCAAGTTTGTTCCTACATTTCTGAGGACCTCCCAGGAGGGGGGGGGGTACATGTTCCCTTGAAAAAATTGGAGTTTTTCCCTTGTTCCCAAAAAATGAATTAAGATGTTCCCTGAAATTCACTCTCATCAAGTTCCCCTGTTCCCAGAAAATCTGTTGCATGTTCCCTTGATCTCCAGAAGTATTATTCAATGTTCCCCACAATTCCAATAATATTTCAGTTTTGAGGGTCAGTTAGATCGCAGTTGCTTTTACAAGGCTTCGTCATCCTCACTGTTTGTACTCTTTGGACGGCCTGGCTTTCTCTTATCATTTTGTGGCATTGTTGGTGAAGTGTTCATTGAGCAAGCTTCTACAGCTGTTTCATCAGCTGACCTTTCCTTTTGTTGTTTATTTGTCATCAGAGATTCATTAACACTTCAAGTTCAAACACTTTAACAGCAAATAACCATCCCTTTATCTGTGTATCAAGTTTGACATATATTACATGGATATTAAACATACTGTAGCAACCCAAATATTATAAAAAACTTTGACCTAGTGTGACTGTTAAGATGGCAGTTTTTAGTTGTTTTTGTTGTTGTTGTTGTTGTTGTATGACAATTACAGGTCATTGCATAACCTTACTAACATGAGGGAGGATTTCCAATAGCTCCCTTTGTTTCACTGAAGCCCAGAAGCACAGTTTCACTTGTGTTGTGCACAGGCAGTGAAAAAGTGTTGTAGTTTGAGCTCAACTTAGCTGGTATTCACTGCTCTTCAACACTGAAATATTGCACTAGACATAAGGGGATTTAATGCGACTTTTATTCCTCAAATTCCTCCGGTTTCTGATAAGAAATTTACGTTAGAAATGTCCAAATTCAAGGGATTTGCAGGAATAGGCGAAAGTGTATTTAGAGAGAAGAACTCAAATACTTCGCTGAACGTTTCACAAACGAACAAATTGTGTTGAAGAATTCAGATATTAACGAATGAGAGTCACATTGATTAACGTAATTGTTAGCTGCAACCACCTCTCGTTGTAACTTTGTGAGTTACTTTTTGTGAAAGAGTACTAAATAAAAAATTGTTTTAGGCCGCGTTTCAATCGTTTTAAAAACAAATTTAGTACCGCCAAATTTATTTCGAAATCAATTTTTGCAGAAAAACCATAGTGATTTGAGAGCGAGAGAGAAGAAAGAATGAATATTATTTATCGCCAAAAGGTCGTGACCGAAGTCTTTGCTCAAAAGTTCTGCCCGGCCGGCAGAATGAGATATATTTGTGAAAACCTGCAAAGAAGCTTGAGATGTTCTGCAAAGTGACTCGAGCGACGCGGATACCGCCCGCTGTGAGCGGGCTGAATGGGGAGAATACTGCCCACTCTCGGAACCAATCAGATTGCAGGATTTGTAGAATAGCGTCCGCTTACGAACTGAGAAAAAAATAAGTTATATTATTGCTCAAGTGTTTATACTAGTAAACATAACATCAACAAACTTCAGTTAGTACAGAATTTTGCCGCCCGCGTTCAGTTGTTCTTCGCCTTAAAAAGTTTGATCACATCTCACAAGCTCTCAAATCGCTTAACTGGCTGCCTGTTAATGACAGAATCTACTTGAACGATGCAGTGATGATGTACAAATGTACTAATAAACTTGTGCCTGACTACCTAATCGAGAAATTTACCATGCGTTCACAAATTCACACTAGAAACACTAGACAACGCGATCAACTGAACATTCCAAGGTGCTGCCTAACCACTGGTCAGCGGTCCTTCGCCTACCGCGGTGCAAAGCTCTGGAATGATCAAAGAGACAATGTTAAATCCTCCAAATCGATCTAACTTTTTAGGAACAAAATTGTCAACCTACTTTTCTCTGATCAACCTATGAATTTGTAATTAGTATATTATCTATTGTATCTCACTTATTTTTATCGTTATTTGTTATATTAGTCATTTGGTAATTTATTTAGTTATTTTAGCTTTAGTAGCCTTATGACTGAAAAACCTTTTTTAGGGAGTTGCAATAAAGTTTATATATATATATATATATATATATATGTATGTATGTATGCATGCCTGCTAACCCCAGGTAGTCGATTGACGAAACAAATTGTCTGTACGTCAGGCTGCTCCGTGTGTCTAGCTACCAAAAC